CATAGGGCAGGTACTTTGCAGCTACTAGAACTTACTTTACATTTCAAGATTGCATCTGTTTATTAGTATTAAACCCAGACTACCAAGCTAGCCAACCTCTTCACTTGTACACACAGACCTCTACAAAACTTTTCACTTCTGCTAAGCCATCAAATCCAGGCCACTTAAATTGCATCTCACTGCTGCCAGTCCACACGAGTACAAAATTCTGATCCCTGCCTGTTCTTGATGACAGTTTAAAAATCTTAGGATCCCAGAGGGTTTCCTTGTTGCCTCCAGATACACGCACCTTGTAACTTCAAAGGGTAGGGCAGAGAGTGCCCAAACACATCCATTCCTCCTAGTTATTTCAAAGAGGAAGGTAAACCCTTACCTAATCAAGACAGGTATATTGCCACTAAGCAGAGCAAGTTCAGTTTGAGTTCTTCGCTTCTACTGCTGTTTCCAAGGGAAAAAAAGTACAAGTTACAGCATATGTATTTATTTTAGATTTCTAAAACTAGAAGACGCCACTGAACTTGGTGTCCTGCAACAGTGTGAAATACCACAAGGCACAAGTTTGTGGTCCTTTTCTGCTGCCACCACCAGTTCCTCTTAGGACATTAGATTACACAACAGAATTGTAGCAACTTTCTTTCTTTACCTGTGATTATGTTCACTTGGTGAACTAGAAGCTTTCACATCATAAGTCCACAAGCTTACAATATATACAAAAATGGAATTAGTTGAAAAGAAATTATTTTTGTTACTTATGTTATTGCAGAAATGTAGTAATTGCAAAAGCACGTGTTCTGAACTCTGAAAAAACAGATTTTACACATGAAAGTATCTAGCTTCATGGGATTAGCCATGATGCCGTCAAAAATCTGCCTCATGAAAATAGTTGATATTCGTTAAGAAGTTGAGAGTGGTCTTAAAAAAAAAAACCAGCATCCTTCTTCCCATCTCCTCCTACTCTATTGGTTTTGTGTCAGAAGAGAATTAAGTTTAATTTGTTTAAATACTTTAACTTTTCTATTTCATTACAATGTTTATTTCTGACTTTGTCGAAGATAACTCCCTGAAGATAACTCCCTTTCTCCTATGTGGTAATTTAACTGATGATGAGAGCTAGCCACTTGAGAACTTTCCTCTGAACAAGCTAATACCAAATTTTCCTCTTGTTCTACAGCATGAGAATAATATCATTCACCGGGACTTGAAAGCAGAAAATGTCTTCTACACCAGTAACACCTGTGTTAAGGTGGGAGACTTTGGATTCAGCACCGTAAGTAAGAGAGATGAAACTTTAAATACTTTCTGTGGCTCTCCTCCTTATGCTGCCCCCGAACTCTTCCGAGATGAAAACTATGTTGGCATTTATGTAGACATCTGGGCACTGGGAATCCTGTTATACTTCATGACGACGGGTATCATGCCATTTCGGGCAGATACAGTGGCCAAATTGAAAAAGTGCATTCTTGAAGGGACATACAGTTTGCCTCCCTGCCTCTCAGAAACTTGCCAGAAACTGATAAAAGGACTCCTTCAGCCAGTACCAACTGAACGATACTCTGTCAAACTTATCATGAACAGTGAATGGATGCAAGGAATACCATACCCCAAACCTTTACAGCCCTTCAAACTGGATCCAAAGTATCTATCAGACATCAGTACACTCAAAGAGGAAGAAATTGAAGTGAAAAATATTCTGGAAGATCTGGGAGTCACAGAAGAGCACATTCAAAATAACCGGGGAAGAGACGCACGCAGCTCAGTAACAGGGCTCTACAGAATTGTTCTGCACAGAGTACAGAAGAAAAGGGCACTTGAATGCATTCCTATCATGTCCCATCCAGACCCCAAAGAACAAGACTTCAGGAGAACCAGTTCTTACAGTGGGGTAAAGCACACATCCAAGCTGTGTTCTATTTTATAAATTGCACTGCAGGCTTTATACTCAGCACATTGTTAACAAAGGATCTTACTTGCTTTTCACAAGTTCTGGTGTGACTTTTTTTGTAATTTTTGAATAAACCAAAAATGCCTCATCTCCTTTGCATTTCTCAAGTCACATTGAACTGCCCAAATACAGAGCTCTCATGCACTTGTTTGTCCCTTGCTCCGGAGACATGGTATAGCCAGCACAAGTGAAACAGCAAAGGGATCATTGGTGGAGGTGACCTTTTTGTAGAGATCAAATTTAACATACTTGGGACATTCTCCATGCAGGCATCTAACAGATAACTTCTTGGAAAGTTTTACCTTAGCTTGACACAACTGTACCACTGCAAACCAGGACAGTTTTTGTGCAGAGCTAAATTTAAGCAGAAACCAGGCCATAATCTAAAACAACTGCAAATTCTTCTTTAAAACTTCATCAGCAAATTAAACATGATCAAATGTATATCAGAGCTTTTTTTTAAAAAAAATTATTTAAAGAAACAGCAATGCTGCTGTTGAGCATTGATTTGATACAATTCAGAAAGGCAAATTAGGATATGCTGCTTTAACCCTGCACATGTGGTTGCAATTCCCAGTGTGTAACTGGTTGGGCTACTATCTGCTAGCCTTCTGACATCCTCCATTACTTGTACAATCCTCACAGTCTAGAACCACTTGGGCTCTAGCTGCACTCCAATAAAGACAGACTTAAGCATACTCCAAAACTAGGAGCAGTAAGCTACATACTCCAAAACTAGGAGCAGTAAGCTAAATGCAACCAATAACAGTATTCCGCTTACATATTGAGCAGTACAGGTTTGCACTAACTCCTGCTGTACTACTTCAGCAACAAAGGCTGGCAAAAAGCTGATTTTGATACTCTTGACCACTGCAAGTTAAAAACGGGATAGCCTGACAACTCCAGTTGTTCTGAGCATCACCAAGATGCAGATAGGAGTATCTTCAGCTTTAATTGCTTATTTTTTTCTTTAATGTTCAACACCATCAGCTCAAATGCAAATAGTGGAAATGCACAGGAGCTGTCCTCCTCCGAACAGGCAGAGCAGACACGCCTAAGCTGAGAGGAAGAGCCTGTATGATTTTAGTTAAGGCAAGTAAACTAATACAAGGTTTAGAAAGGTACAGCTGGTGCTTTCAAATTTACAGGCAGGATGCCTTATCTATTACAGGGACTGATGAGATGATCAGTTGACTTTAAAAGGAGTAATTAATGTAAATGAGCCACAGAGTGGCCCTGAAAAGCCATCCATGGGAAACTGGACTCAGCGAGGCTCATGTAAGGACAAAGCAAGAACCAGTCCCCCTTCACGTTTTTTCTGAGGGGAGTAAAACCATACTGTCTTTCATAAGACAGTAATAAAGATGAATTGTATTTCATAAGCTGGGAATTAATTCCTCTGCTATAAACAGTTTCCATCTGAAAGCATTTAAGTTGTCTTGAAACACAGCCCTGAAATAATGGTCTTGCACCAGCCTAAGCAACCCTGTCTTTCACTCTTGGAATGGAATGAAAGATCCAGAAGGTCCACACATCTTGTGAACCCACAATTTGGGTTTTCACAAGGCCAGTTTCCTCTTTCTTTCCTGTTAAAGAAAAACAAATGCAACCTGAATACCCAACGAGTCACCACTACTCCAACAGGTTTCAAATATCTCAAACTTTATTTTAATAAAGGATCAGCCTCACAGAGCGTGAGGTCCCTGTGGTTAACTTTCTGCCAGTAGCTCACTTCTTGGCTTGTCCACTGCCAGCAATGGACTTTGTTCCATGGCAATTTGTTTTTCTGGTGCCAAGATAGTTTCACAAGGGCAACCTAAACCAAAATACTTGCAAACACACTATCGTCATGCATCATTGATCCATCATTTTCAGCAGAACAAACAGATTAGTATTCATCAATTTATAATAAACAACTATTTTACCAAGGCTTGACTGTACAAATACAGCAAGTTATCAAATCCTAGTGAGTGACAGATAATACAAACACTTCATTACACACAGAAAAACCTGTAATTTAACAGACGAATCAGTTTTTGCTACTTTATATTAGATAATGTAGCTTTGTAGAATTAGCAAAGAAATAAATTCAACAAAACTTCATTCTGTACATTAGCTCAGTTTAAATATATATTACAAGGCTCATGTCATAGTTCATTTCCAATCTGGGCTTTAAAAAAATCTACCAGAATGGACTCCCCATTAGCACTGTATATCTACCACTTGCAAAATGGATAGCTTTTAGCTTACATGTTGGGGGGAAAGGTGGGGGGGGGAGAGAAAAAAAAGAGTAGAAGTAGTAAGACCCCACTCCTACAATATTACCAAGAGTGAAAAAGACTTCAAAGTACAAAGCCAAATTCAAAGTTAGAAAGTGTCTTTTAGAAATGTATTATATAAAGAATAGTGAGAGGCCAGAGCTCCAGACAAAGTGACCTTCCTCCCTTCCCTTGTTTGCCAATTAAAACAGTTCCATAATATCTAGAAGTTTTATCTGAAAATTCTGCTGCCTTAAATACTTCTACTAAGCAGTCCTGAAAGGTGCCAAATCAATGAACTGAAGAATTACACCCTTTTTGTTCTTTAGAAGAAAAAGAATTACTACCTCCCTTCTTCCTCTTTCTTCCCAGGCTGCCGTGACTTAAAATGCAGGTACAAAACACGTAATACAGGTGTTAGGAGGAATTACGTAGTCACTGACACAGCAGGTCACAGACTTTCTTGGAAGAAAACCACCTGTCAGTCTAGCCGTTCTTGATCCAGTCATTTTGACAGGGGAGAGATTCTATTCCAGCAGCGAGTATTACTTGGTTCTATACCCTCCCAGAGTAATGGGGTGATGGGAGGTAGACTGGGAGGA